TAATGAAATGGAAGTCAAGACAACAAAAATCTTCTGTTGTTGAAGATACCTTTGAGTTGATATTTTGTAATGGCTCAGAAGTGGCAAAACAGTATTTCTCTGCTGCCACGACAATGTGGGAAACTCTGGGTAGTCATTGTGTTTCCTTTGGCACAGTTGTAGGCTGTTGTTCAGTTGAGATTCTCAAACTTTTTTTTTTTAGCCTTTTTGTGGAGCGAAATATTTGAATCCCAACTGTTGTGGGTTTTTTATTGGTTGGTTTGTTTTGGTTTTGTTGTAGGTTTGTTTTTTTTTTAATTCAGTTGGAGCTGAATTCATTTTGTGAGCGTGTTAACAAACAGATACTCATCTACCCTGAGAGGAGCTCTGCTGTTGGGGTCTTACAGCCTTCTCCGTGGCTGCTCCTCTTGCTGGTTGCCTGCCAGCAGGCAGGCAGGGCAGACCAGAGAATATGTGCTGCAGCATCCGCAGAATGCTCGTGTTGCTCATTATAGGTCTTTGCATTATTATGGCGTAAAGCAAACAGGACCATGGTTTCAAATATTAGCAGGACAAATAAGCAATTTGATCTCTTCATACACTGCACTGGTGCGTCCCCGCCTCAAGTACTGTGTGCAATTTGGGGCGCCTCGATATAAGAAGGACATCAAACTATTAGAGTGTGTCTAGGGTATGTGGTGAAAGGCCTCGAGGGCAAGACTTACGAGGAGCAGCTGAGGCCACTTGGTTTGTTCAGTTTGGAGAAGAGAAGGCTGAGGGGTGACCTGATCTCAATCTACAACTTCCTCAACAGACACAACGGAGCGGGAGGTGCTGATCTCCTCTCTCTGGTGACCAGCGATAGGACACGAGGAAATGGAATGAAGCTGCGTCAGGGGAAGTTCAGATTGGACCTCAGGAAAGGTTCTTCACTGAGAAGGTGGTTGGTCACTGGAACAGGCTCCCCAGGGAAATGGTCATGGCACCAACCCTGTCAGAGTTCAAGGACCATCTGGACGACGCCTTTAGTCTATCATTTAGTTTTAGGTAGTCTTGTGAGGAGCAGGGAGTTGGACTTGATGTTCCGTATAGGTCTCTTCCAGCCTGAGATTTCCTATGATTCTATGAACTGTAGATCTTATGGGCATGGCAAATAAATAGGCATTTTCATTAGCCACTACTTTTTTCCAGGGGAGATTTCCTTACCAACTAGTTTTCTCACTAGAAATAACCAAACCTGTGTGAAGAATAACAGGCAACTGCCCCAGCTCCTGAGACACCACAGAAGTTGGACAATAAGTGAGACCTCTCGCTCCAGAGGTGCATAATCAATTATCCTATTTTACTGTCACACATTAATTAGACATATGCGTCACCTTCAACCTTTGGACAGGCACAGGGTGTCTATGCTAATGTGCTATCCCTTTTACTTTATTAGAGGGGGGGTGAGGGGAGATGTTGGTCTTCCTCTTGGTCGCCTCTGTGCTCCTCTTTGGACCCTGTTACTCCTTTAGGTGTGCACAAAAGGGCTTAGAAATTAGAAAGCTGTGATTTTCTCTAAACTGGATCAATTTTTAACTTCCTGCTGTGGCATATAGATGTTCCTCATTATTGCAAATGGAAAGATCCTTAATCAATGATGGTTGTTGTAATGAGGTTACTGCTAAATGGGTTTTAGGATTGTTGGAGGTGGTGGTTAGTCAATAGTCTGAAGTATGAAAGAACAGGTAATCTTGAGACATGAGAAACAGCTAGTGGTATGTACAAGCAGTGGCTCAGTCCACAATGCATGCTGGGTGGAGTTCTCATTGTGACTTTCATGTTGATTTGAATTGGTTGTCTTTTTTCATCAAGTGTTTTCAGCTGTTGATAGATGTAGAAGTGATATAATTTCCCATGTCTGCCCCTTTTCCATGATACAGTCTTGGTTTGCACAGTATGTGATAAGCATCTGTAGTTGTTGATAACCTACCAATTCTCAAGCAAAGAGTATGTACTTCAGTTTAAACTCCATGTGTTGGGATGATAATTTTGCCTTTTACATGCTGCATCCAGTTACTACCAGGATGTTGAATTTATGGCAAAAATTTGAAATAGCTGCTGAAGGTCAGTATCTTTCTGTAAAGGTAGAATCAAAGAAAAATTGCTGCAGTGGAATGCCAGCATTGTATATCAGTTGCAGAATATTGTATCTTTTTTTTTAAAACTTCAGTAACTCAAGAGCTTTACTTCATTAATGGACATAAACAGAAAAATTGCCAGTTGGTATGGAATGGAAGAAACAAGAACTGAAGGACTAGAATTAAGCAGTGGTTAGAGGACATTTTTATTCAGTGTTTTATCTTCTTTGTACTATTTGAGCTTTTCTTTACTTCTTGTTAAAATGTGGTAACATCAATTCAATGCTTTTTTAAGGTTTTTATTGTCTCTCTGTTCGTAATCATTCTCATTAAACCAAAGCGTGAAGAAATATGAGGAACGGTGCAGACTGTGTGCGGATTGATGTTGACAGATTTTGCTGTTTTAGAAAACAAGAAAACAGTGACTTGTTTAATTCCCCTTTAGGACGTGCGTTCACTAAGTGCTAGAAGAAATCCCATGTGAAAGCTTTGCATTCACTTTTCAGTATGGCTTTTCAGTTCAGAGGTGAAACAAGACAGTTTGAGGTGTAACAGATAGGGTAGTGATGACTTCATCAGCTGAGATGACCTCACAGAAGTTTAAACTGTAGGTTGCCTAAGGCCTGATTTTGCAAAGCACATCATCTAGTTCTAAATTTCAAGCGTATGTTTGAATTCGTTCTAGTTGAGCAAAATACACGTCGTCTTCTTTCCTACCTTCTGTTAAAAAGCTGCCTGACTGTAATGGGGAAGGAAAAGCCACCAAAACACAGTCTAAATCATGGTGTGCCTCCCACCGTATGGTGGAGCATGTAGAATATCAGAGATCAGGCCACATCAGTCGTTTAGTTCTCCAGTCCCTGAATGACACATCAGCAGCCGTGGCGCAAATACAAAAGCATTATTTTTGTGCTGCAAACCTCTGCTGGTGGGTCAGGTTCCCTGGTGGACTCTGCAGCCTCCTGTCCACCTTGCTCATCTTCTGGTGCAGCTTTATAAAGGCTGACTGGGTTTCCCCTTAGCCTGCTTCTCTCTCGTTGCTGGAGGTAGCCCTGTGTCTGCCTACCTTTGCTTTTCTCTAAAATGCTAGTGTGCGAGTTAACCTGTGTTAAGGGAAAGGTCTGGGGACCTTTTTCGTTGCTAGGGGGGTGGAGCTCTGTTCTGTTACCCATCCTGGAGCTGTTCCCCTAAAACAAATTGCTTCTGGATTCTATATTCATTCTTGCATTTCAGTGGAAGAAAGGTAATACTGGCCATTCTTCACCATGGCTTAATAAAGCTCTTAAACACGGCAATAAAAGGGAAGTTCTGTGGTTGGTTGGTTTGGGGCTTTTTGTGGGTGTTTTTTTTGTTTGTTTGTTTTCTTTTTTGTTTGTTTTGTTGTTTTTGTTGTTGGTTTGGGTTTTTTGTAGAGTGAAAACGCCATGCTGAACGTAATTCCAGCATGTTCCTGTTGAATGCATGCAGGAGCCTGAAGGAGCTCTAATCATCTGCGTTGGCCTGTGCATATGGATGATGGGCGGTGTGGCACAAGGGTATCACAAGAAAGAAATTTAGCTTTAAAAAGGCGCAGCATGACCCATTTTCCTCTTTTGCGCTGTATGGTGTTCTGCTGCTGGCTCCTGTTTGTGTGGGCTGATCCCCTTTGGTGCTGTTGGCTCTGACTGTTGGGTTCATTGGTGGCTGGAACTAACGTCCAGCCCATTTTATAATCATGTATCTCAAGGTCTGCCTCTGCTTACTCTTCCACGCCATTACACTGGAGTTATTCACAGGGGGATGGAGGAGGTTGGCATCCTCTGTGTCTCATCCAGATGCGCTGCAGTTAGAGGGCAGGGACTAGCTCCTTATTGTGCCTCATTAGCTATGCAAGGGGACACAGCTTGGCATGGTAGCAAGTGCCAGTACTGAGTTTTGATCTGTTATCTCGGCGGAGGGGAGGGTAAAAAAAACCCCCCAAACTTAAATTTTACTCTTGAGTGAATCTTAATCTTTAAATTAGTAAGAATGTGAGATTTCCCATGCTACGATTTTAGAATAACAGTAATCATTTTAAGAAAACAAAGCCAAGGAACATTATGGTGTTGAATGTCGAGTAAACTGGTGTTTGAAATGACGCGTTGTACATCTGCACATATCAAAAAAGGAGTTTAATTTCCTAATTTGTTTTGGATCTTGCCCCCCTTTCCTCATGTTCATCCCTGTTTTATTTTCTTCCTTTTGTGTCTGTAATTGCATGCATTATTAGAACTGGCAAGATGAGCACCTCCAGATGCATCCTGCAGGAACCCAGCCAATGCTGACTCTATTCCCATGTCAGACTGCATGCCAAGTCAGTGAAGCTTGGTTGTCAAAATCTATTCCCTTTCTACGCTGCTTCTAAACCCATCTTCTCAAATAATATTTTGACACAGGGTGACTGCTGATACCCTCAAGAATTGTCCCAAACTTAAGAAGGTGTATTTTAGTATGTTGAACCATAGTAGTTAAAAGTAGTATTTTGAAATAGTATGCTCTAGGAAGCTTTCCTTATTCCTCTGTCAGGTGAAATGACTTGAGGCGTTTGTAATCTGTCACACTGTACCTTCCACTGTTTTTTGTGGTGTGGTTTGTTGTTTTTTTTTTTAATTTATCTGATTTTTTTATGCCCTTTGAATACAAAAAAAAAAATCACTGATTTTACTAAACATAATGCATTTTGCGTTGTGATTTTTTTGCACCAAGACAACTCCTCTTCCTTTTGGGGAAGAATATACTCATTTTACTTATTATTTTACAGGTATCAGGCAACAGCATATCAACGTTGCTCCTTCTACAGGATCTTTTCCTAATTGGAGATCTATACTATCACCAACACGGCCTTCCACAGAAACGAAGACTTCCTCAGTAGCTGATATTTCCATGGGACAGACTTTGGAGAATGCAAACTTGCTTCAGATGATAAAAACAACACTGACTGGCACGCGTACCAGGACTTTGGATCAAACTCATCTGTCGGCCACCCTTTATCAAGGCAGTGGAAGCAGTGCACCCCAAGAACCCGCTGAAGTTTCAGCTGAGTCGCCTCTGAGGTCATCATCTCAAGACGCAGATGAAACAGCTGCTGTATCAGGTTTGCCTCAACTCGGTATGTTTGCCACATTGTCCACTACACCATCAGTGACACATTCGAGTACAGCTGTGCCATTTCAGCTAATACCATTAGAAACACCTTCCATTTCAAAAGCAAGCACATCAGGATCAGACATGCTTGCTGCTGTTCCATCACCATCATTCTCCTCATTGGTAATTCAGTCACCTCATACCATTAACTTTTCGAAACCAGCTGTACTGCCCATCAAAGTGCCTTTGTCTGCAGATCCTGAAGGTTTCTTCAACACAGATTCAGCCAGCTCACAGGTTAGTGAAAGCAGAAATAGTCCTCTAAGCATGGTCACTGTAGTACATTCCAGTACGGTGAATGACAGAAAGGGTCCCGAGTTGTTTACGGCTACCATGCCTTTCAATCTCTTTGGATCGACAACAGTGCATTTCACAGAAATAGGGGGGAAAGGGCCTCCTTCAGAAAGGACCTCTTTTTTGTCTCTATACTCTGATATTCCTGTGTCAAAAACATATCGGTCTTCCCTGCCAGTAACTTCCAGAAGCCTGTCACAGTTTCCTAATGAGAGTATGTATAATGTATCTTCCACTGGAGTAAAACCAAACAGTCAGCCATTTAAGGCAGCACTGCCTGACAGGAACAGTGGTATCACTCCTCTGTCATCACCAGTTTTTCAGGATAAATCAGAGGTTCCTACATCAGTCTTCCATCCTGTGGGTACTTCACATCTAATACCCCCAACGAGTCATCCTCAGTATTCCACAGCCCCGACTAATTGCACTACAGGCTCTACCACTGCACCTTTCTTGTCATCAGCTTCTGAGAGCCTAGCTGATGTCTCCAGCTCAGCAGAGAGCACGTCTTCCCTTTCATTGCCAAAATTACTTATTCCAGATGCAAAGCATGCTCGCAATGCAGTGCTGCCAGTACGAGCGTTTAGAAGCGAAACAGATTTTCTCTTTAGCGATGCAACACGCTCCTCTTCAACAAGCACCAGGTCTCCCTTGCTAACTGAGACAAATGACACCTTTACTAGGATAACACACAGAAACAGTCCCAGTGCAGCAGCAGCTGATGAGGATATTTTGCAAATCCCTCTGACTGTTTCCTCGCAGCACTCGGTGGCAGCTCTGAATCAGACTTTTGCACAAGACCTGACTGAGGGAGCTTATCTGGTAAACAGCGTGCGGTTGCCAACTGCTGCCGCACGTACTCTCCCAACTTCTGATGGCTTTCCCGTGGCAAGAACAGCTCGACAGCTTTTCACAAGAGGGGTGACAGCAAAGACATCCATGAACTTTAATGCTAATACTGTTCTGCCTTATGGATCTCAGCTTTCCAAAGTTTCTCCAGATATCCAAACCAGTAAACTCCCCGAAGGATCAAAGATACTAGGCAGTGTTTTGGAAACAGCCGTGACTAGTCCTGATCTAGCTGCAGTGCTGTTAATTACTTCCACTACAGGCCTTTCAAAACCTGAATCTATCACAAATACATCTGCTACTGATATCTTTGTGACTGAACGTCTTCCACCTGGAGATGCAAAAAGTCCAGATGTAACCGCAAATGAAGACAGAAATACGCGAGTACCCGCTGTTGTGACCCCACATGCAGAGTATTCCCCTCCAAGAGCTTTAAATCATTTTACTTCTGATCAGACTTCACGTTCGGTTGATAGAAAGCCGCTCGCCTCTGTCGTGGCTCCAGTGTGGGGGACGCTGCCATCGCTCGTTTCCATGACAACGGTGATGGACAGCCAGGGCTCCAGCTTTTCCAGGATTTCTAATGCAGACGCTGAAGGCAATTTAGATCCTGTCAGCTCTCCTGAAGTCGCAACTTCGGCTTCTACGGTGACCAAGACAGCATTGCTGTCTTCAGCTGGCATTAGTATTCCTGCGGTAAAAACGTCAGTCAAAATGGCAATAAGAGAAGTTCCTCCAAGTACTTCTCCATTGGAAACCGAGTACAATGCACCATACTCGGTAGTTTCAAGTCTGCAAAAGAAAAGTAATACAAATAAGCAGGCACTCTTCTCCACCCCTTCAGCAAACTATACATATGCAAACTCTAGTCAAAATGTTTCAAATTCGCCCTTCACTGGAATGAAGTCAACTAGTTTTGCAGCATTTGATGTAGATGCATTTGCACTGAAAACATCTCCTGCTCAGCATTCATCCCTTGCTACCGCTCTGACAGTGCCTGACCCCCTGCAAAAAAAGCATGGAAGCACAGCTGAAAATGTTGCTAATTTCTTTACTGTTGGAGACATTAATATCAGTATACACTATGAAGCACCTCTCCCTTTACGTGTGCCTTCTGTTAATCATACAGGTGCTTTCCCTAGCTCTTTAGAATCACAAACAACTGATGCTGGAAAGATTACTTTACTGACAAAAACCTTAGGCACAACACCAGCATTGGCTTTTCAGCTCACTGACAACTTGACTCTTTCAGCCAGCGATGAAAATAGTGCCATCCACAGCATACTGCCAACCGAGTACACCTCTCCCGTAATGAAGCCTTCTAGCTCAACTCTCTTGCAGAGTTTTATTGCAGAAGATGACATCGGTTCTGGAAATTTGCCAGAATTTGCAGATAACCAATTAGAGTCCTCTGGTTATTTGGTTACAGCTGATAAAAATCCAGCTACATTTAGTGTGGAGGAGTGGGACACAAGTGCTACAAGACGTAGTCTAGTTCCCAGTAATATATCTAATAAAGCTACCAAGGGCATCCCATTGCAAACCCCTACCACCAGTGCTCCGCAGTCAGTCATCATAACTTCTGTCCATACATCACCAACACAACTAACTTCTTCTTTGTCAACAACCAACTTTACCCATTCTGTCATTACAGTGTTATCTGGAGTATCTTCTGGTGCAATACCTACAGTAGGAACTTCAGAAGCAAAACCACTAACAAGAAAATCATCTCCAGCTTCACCAGTGCCAGCTTCTTCCTTCTTTTCTCTGGGCACTGAAAACACACCTTTGCCATCTGTGATGGCTTTAAGCACACCAATACTGACACTAACAAAAAATAACACTGCCACAAACTTGACATCGGATCTAAGCTCAGTAGGAACACGTACAGATTTCCCTTTTGCAACAAGAAACACAACTGCATCACCCCTGGACATGACAGCTATGCTCATAACCCCTAAAAGCAGCACGGTCACAGCTTCCACACTTGCACCCACAGCACACGTACCAAGGCAGATAGAAACAACAGTAACTGACACCCAGAAGTTCCCAAGCTCAGAAATCACCAAAACGTCAGCCCCGTATCCACTGACAATTACAGCAGCTTTGACATCTATTACAGCATCAGCGAAAACAACTAGGCTTCCCCCTACTCCAGTGGAAAACATCTCCGCTCCTCCCGAAACCACAGCAGCAGCCGCTTTCGCTAACATGACAGCAGCTCCTCCCCTGGATTGCCGGCTCTCCAGGAACCTTATGGTTAAAACAGGTACGTGGGGCCGCTGAATTTGCCGAAAGGACCTCGCTTGTCTGTGAGGGGCTACTGGTGAGGAGTGGGAAATACGCTCAAGTGGCAAAGAATGTGGGGGCGTTAGCGATTAAGCTGGGGATGAGGCTGCGGCAGTGACAAACCAGACAGATAAAAGCAGGGGTGCTAGGTAGGAATGGCATTGGCTTTATATGTAGCTTGGGTTTTACAATGGATGTGTCAAATGAAGTAGCGAGACCGGGTGCTCTGAAGTTCAGTGGGTCACTGCAGGGTTCTAGCAGAACCACCAGTGTGGAGGGACAACCCCGTACGACGTGACGGTTTGGTCTCTGCTTTGCAGGAAGGGGTCTGTTCCGCTGAAGACGACAGTGCAGTAACCTGCCTCAGTCTTTGGCCCTGTTTGCATAGGGATACCTAATTCTGGTTTTATATGAACACCTAATTCTATCATTAAAGATTCATTTGAAAATAATGTCTAGTATTTAGAGTTGCATACTTCAAAACGGGAGGATTCTGAGCTTTCTATGTGAACAGTACCACTTTAGCTGTTTTTTTCACGGACAGCTTTTTCTTAGCTGTAAGAACTCTAAACTAAAGGGGTCTGGAGACCAGGCTTCACACAGACTCCTTACGGTAGCACAGCACCAGAAGATTTGTGTATCTTGGAGATCTCAGCAAAGAAGAATAGCTACATAAAAGGGTTTATGACCTTGTGTAGACCTGACTGATACTGGGGACAATGAAATAAGCAGCTTTTGGACCTAATGTGTGTTCAGTAGCTGCTGAATATGTATATCAGTAGCACGATGAGTACAACAACTATTTCTAAAGATACAAGTAGCTTGTACATAGTATATGATTGAAAGTACTTAAGTGCAGCTTTAAAACTCTTTCTGCAAATTATAAGAGAAAAAGAAAAAGCTAGTGATCATGTTAATAAAGAAAGTGTACAGACACTTCCTAAATGGAAAATAATTGTAGTAGTGAAGTAACACATTTCTTTGTTTATTTAACTCTGGCCATGAAGGTGTGAAGCACACATCCTTTACCTAGGCCTGCCTGTGCAGCACCAGCTGAGTCCCCTGGGAATGCTGCACCAGTCTGTCCGCTGGCAATCGAGTGGCGTCATACCTCACTCGGAAAGGCAGCGTGGCAAAGACTTGTTGTTGTTGCTAAAGAAATTGCATTTGTTAGACCTCACTCTGGAAACAATGGGCTATTGCCCTGGGATGAATAGGGAACTCGGGGACACTGCTGAGCCCCTGCAGTTCATGCTGCTTTTGGAACTGCTGCAAATCCTAGCTGCTTTGATGATCTTCACCCAGCTAGCCTAATGTAAAACAAAAAAAGCAAACGGTAGCATAGTCATGTCTCAAACCAACATGGGGCTTTTGTTGTTCCACAGTTCTGTTTCTGAACACAAGGAGGATGCTGATCAGCAGTCCCTTCAAGGAGAGTGTGAGAAAAGGGCTCAACCAAGTGCTGAGACAAGCGTTCAACCAAAACGTCAGTGCTCAGGTAAGCGTGCTTGGCTTGCCTGCATGATCTCCCACAAGAGAATCCCAGCTGGCTGCAGCTCTAGTGGTGTTTCTGGATGCAGAAAGCCTCTTGGAGGGGAGCACCGAGCTTTTCCTATGGAAAGCAGGCATAAGTGGCACCCGCTCTGGGCTCTAAAAATGGAAGGACCTCTCCAAAGCTTTTACCACTTGATTTGATGAAGTAGAAGGGAGAAATGCAAATTTCTTTGTGGTGTGTTCTGGGAAACGACTACTGACAGCAGTTTCCTCCTCCCCCTGCAGCTTAGGAATGACTCCTGTTCACAATCAGCCAAGTGCTGCTGTGGTCAGCCTGGATAAATTGCAAGAGCAGGGCTGGTAAATAGGGTGTCACGGCTGTCAGTCCGCTCCCCGGTTTGAAAACCCAGTACCTGACAAGCGCGGTTCCACAGGGACGAAAATCCCAAGCAGGGAGAAAGCACATTTTATTGAAAATAAATGAGGGAGTTGTGTTCATCACTTTGCAGCTGAATTGCATGAACCTCTGCATTGCTGCATGTAAGAGCAGGTTTAGGTGGATTGCTGGGGCAGTCTTCTCTGCAACGTGGGTTCCCGTGCACTTAGGCAGGGGTTTGGGCTGAGTCCACGGCTGTTATGGGTTATACTCACCAAGCCACTGGGAAGGAAAAAAGTATTTTTGCTCAAAATAGAGGGCGTAAGGTTGACTTTTGTCCCCACGCTCTATTGCTGCAAGTTTGGATGATGTTAGTTGGTTTGGGAATTGTATATTTCTGAGACTCAGCAGCAATGAAAACTGTCAGGTTTAGTCCCCCACCTTCTTGTAAACCTGAGGGAAGCTGCCTTCTTCTAACAGAGGAAACCAGCTAAAACTTAGCATGGAGGACCAGTTCCAAGGCTCAAACTTTTTGGAAAATAATACAGAATTTCGAGGCAAACTCAACTCATATTTTGGCTTAGTGCGTTCATTCTTGTGGTTTGTCATTTCTACTCATATAGGTGATAGCTTAGCCATCTGGGACAGTGTAGGAAAATAGTATAGAAGAGACAGTTGAGGTTGAAGAATCAAATATTGGAAACTTCTGTCTTTCAAAAATCTGTCTTCAAACGTGCAAGGAGAGGCACATGCACAAAGTCAGTGAAATTCAGGTATGAAGTGGGAGCTGGAAGTTCTCTGGATTCTCTGTATTTCACATTCATAAGTAAAATGTCCCAGTAGCTATACGTGAATGAAGCCCCAGTCTAAATTAGAGGTAATGTGAGCTGTGGTAGCAATACTGCGCTGCTTCAATTCGGAGCACATTTTGCATGGGCTGGGTCTAAAGCTCCCTGAGCAATTCTGCTAATACTACGTCTGATATGACACTAACTGATCCTGTAGGGTTTATAGGGGATTACAGGATAAAAACTCTGCAAGGGAGCTATATTCGGGATGAGAAATCCCATCAAATAGTGGTTGAACCGCAAACAGCAGCAACAAAATGTTTCCCTGTGTGTTTAGGTTGAAATCCTGGAGCAATCGAATAACGTAACAGTCGGTTACTACGTTACACGGGGCAGACTGGTTTTTATGCCGGCTGCTGTAATTGAAAGGCTTCTCGCGTACGGCATCAGCAACGCCACGGCAGACATAAAGCAGCACGTCCCGCATCTCCAGTCGGTGGCGGCCCTGGCCGTGCCGTGGAAGCCCCTTCCCGCGTACCACTTCCAGCTGAAAACCGGTGGGCGAGGGCCGGCCCGCCGGCGTCTGATTAAAGACTTGGTGTTTGATTAAATGGCCTTTCATCGACGGGTTGTGCAGTGACCTGTGTGTTTCTTTTGAGGAGACCCGATGAGAAACACGACTCTATGATGTATATACATCTTGTTCTGGCTGGACCCGTCGGATTTGGCCTGGGTCCCGGCTGTCTGAGCCAGGGTCGCTGTTTAACCCCTCTGTACTGTAGCAAGCATCAGGGCAGAGCAGTTGCAGTGCAGCAGAACAGCATAAGCTACAAGAGGGCAGTGTGCTGTAAAACAACATATTCCATTGTAAAAAGATCTCTTACGTCTGTGCTTACATATTTATATACACAGACTTTTTGCAATTAGCCAGTTGAGTACATTTTTCCTACCACAAACAGAAAGAGAATCAATATTATGATTGATTATGTCTTGCAAGAGCAAATGAAGATTGAAGAATATAACGTGTGTTTTAGAATGATTTCACTTACTGCCTGGCTCTGAGTAAGTGTATGTACAGTGAACTGGTCTTACCATCTTACATATCACTGCAGAAACAATCTCCATTTGTTTGTGGAGGGGATCAGCTCTAATAATGCAATTTAATTCTTACATTTTGTCTTAGTTAAGGCTAGTTTAGTGCTTGAGTGACATAAACTGATCTTATGTGGCATTTTTTTCACCTGCTTAATTTGTAAATTGATCATTTTGCTGCCAGGCATTACAGGAGTTATGCAACCGAGAATATTTTGTCCACGTACAAATACATTGTTCCTTTTCCAGAGCTGCAGTTTGTGGGTCAAACAGACAATATCCAGTCATGCAAGTTTGTTCAGACCATGGAGCAACGGTTACAGAGAGCATTTCAGGATGCTGAAAGAAAGGTCTTAAACACCAGCAACAACTTAACAGTTCAGGTACGGCCTTGCGTGCTTTGCCAGCACCTGTTGCCAAACTCTCTGGGTTATTCTTTGCTATTTGTATGCTTGTATTGCAACATAACGCCTTTGATAGCCACTAAGGAAGTAAGTTTATGCTTTCGTCTGAATTGTTTTATGTATTGCAGGAAGACTTATAAATGCGTGATTTATAGAAGACTGTTACTGTTATTTTCATGAATTTGAGTTTTATGGTTTGTGGTTAAATTATTTAAGTGAAATTCAAATAAATATATAAAAATATTCTTCCAAATTTATATTTTTACTGAATATGTTATTCTGATACATTAGTTGCTTTCAGTGAGGCTATTTGGGTATATAGATAGTGACATGCGTAGCTGTTTGTAAGATCTGAACTAATGGAATATATTTCCTTCTTTTTTTTTTGGTGTGCATTCCAGTTCCGTACATGCTGACCCAAATTCACTATTAAGGGACTGATTTTTTCAGACTTTTATATGTACAGTGGGCCAACACCCTTATGCTCTGTGTCATACTTAAGGAATAAATAAATTATCCTCTAGACGATACTATGATATGTATTTGACTTATGATAAAACTCTGTGTATGGACTTGTGCTCCTTGGAATAGTTGGTATGTAGCTTACCAGAAGGAGAAAATTGGTCATCAGAGCTCTGCTTAGTACTTTGGTACTGTTTCTTGTGAGCTTGTGTTCAAACTGGAGGAGCTCAGAGAGGCACAAAAGTGTATGGCAAGAGATTACCTCCTGCAGTGGGTAAAGTGATTATCAAGTTTTTCAATACCTGGACCCGTGATGCTGAGGGGAACTTCACTGTGTCTAATTTGCTCATGCCAGAAGTGGCGGATCTCACAAAGCACCTAGGCAATTTTGTAAAGAGCTCTAGAAGGCGGCAATAGTTGTGGGTTTTGTGGGTATTGCCAATTTAGGAAGCAATAGGATGGAGGCCTTGGAGGCAAGATATAAACTGGGAAGTAAGAGGCTCAAGGGTGTGATCTTCAACATAAATTTTTCTGAAATTATTCCAGTACCATGTAAAGGACTAAGTGCAACAGAAAATAGTACAAGGGTTTTAGATTAGCTACAAACTGAGGAACAGTTCTGGAGCAGATGGAGCTGATTCAGAAAAGGTGTTGCTGCACTACAAGAGTAGAGGGAAGGGCAGAAAGATGGGTAAAAGGCATCAAACAATTTCCATGCAAGGAGAAATTAAATTGGCCGTGGTTCTCCAACCATGAGTGGTGTAGTGAATCAGGAGCGATCATCTGGAGTTTCCCATAACAGAACTACTCAGGTTTAAAAAAAAAGAAGAATCCTTTCACACAGTGGGTAATAAGATCTTGAAGATGTCCAGATGTAACTGGAGAAAGAGTATGGAAGTTATAAAAAGCAATTGGCCAAACATATAGAATAATAAGTCATCAACCCTTTTTAAACCCAAGCATATAATTTATGGCTGAGACCATAGCTGTGGGCTAACCTTACACTGCAGAAAAGAGTCCTCTCCTCTTGCTCTGTGCTCGTTCTCCAACCCTGAGCAGATGTTCCCAGCCATTTGCAAGTGGACGTCGGCTAGGCAGACCTTTGGTCTGACCTTGAACTCTTCTTCTGATGCTTTTATTATACCATGTTTTATGTTTTTACTTAGTGATCCAAATCATAAAAATGGGGTATTTAAATAACATTAATGAATGCTGAATGCTGTCGGCCCTCCCTACAGTATCAGCCAAAAAACATCCTAGGGCAGAAGTTTTCTGAGAAAACCTGTTTTTTCCATTTCTGCCCCACCTTTGCCTGTTTGCTTCCTGCATAACACTGGTGTTTGAGGATCTGATCCAGTACTCACTGAATAGAATTGGTCCTTAAACACAGTCATCAGATTTGGGCTCAGGAAGAAACTGGCGTAGAACTAAAGTGGGGAGGAGAGCAAGTAAGCAGATGATGCTAGGAATGGAAGAGACATTATATCCCTTTATTTCATATGGAAAAGGTGTAGGTCTAGATAACTGCACTAGGGAGACAGCAAAGAGAGCAAGACATACAGGCCTAATTCCTCTGCAACAAACACTGAACATTTTTTCTGATAAGCATCCTCTTCCTCATCACACATTTCCTGGTAAAAACAGAGAGAAGTATTTTCAGTCCTGACTGCACCTTTTCTGCCTGCTGCTGTCCTCCAGTAACTCTGCATGTGCTAAAGTAGGAATTAAAGTATCACACAAGTAAAGTTTTACACAATCATGTTGAGTGAGCTGTATCTAATTCATTGTTCAAGTTAATGTTTCCCCAGTTTGCACTGGTTTGGTTGTTTTTTGGTTGTTTTTTGTTTTTTTTTTAACTGAGCTGAAGCGCAGCTGCACATTATTTCTTTACCTCTGTTTCAGATTTTGAACACCTCCAATGTGTCCCAAGCTGTCACTCTGTTTTATGTAGTGAACAATCAAAGCACAACTCTAAATGGCACTATTTCCAGCAACCTTCTTAATCAGCTGTCAGCTGAGCTGGTGGGTTTCTACCTAACCTACCCACCTCTTACCATTGCAGAATGTAAGTATGCACTTCCCAGCGTGTAGCTCCTTAAGATTAGCCAGTGTTGGGCTTTTGCTTTGCAAACACCATGAGCTCTGTTGTCAAGCCCACAGACTGTAGGTGGTTTTGCTGCCTCCTTTTTAAACTGTTTTTTTGGTTTAAAAAAAAAAAAAAAAGAAGAGGGGGGATTAGGTGGGAGGGGTTCTGCGTTCAGTGTTCACATTGGCTGCTAGAAACACTGGCAGATAATTAAGAAAACCACATGTATGCTGTCATTAATTAAAAAAAAAGCCTGTGCCAGGTTCCAAACAAAATAAAATTGTAGTTTTATATAAAACAAAACAGAGAATGTCCCCAATTCTCTGTTTCAGGAAAACTTAGTGCAGCACATGAAGTTCATCTTCAGCTTACTTCAGTGGAAGCCTCTGCCCCGGTGCTAGCTGCAGTGGCAGGGCTGGGTAGCACGCTGTGAGTGTGTGTTTGGGTAGTGGGTGAGCTCTGTCTACGCTTCTCCATTTAAAAAGTTGTCGGTGTATTTGCTGAACTTCATCCTCAGTTTAAAATGTGGTCTAAGCACTTTAGCATCAATAATTTGCTTGCGTTTCAATTGTTACGAAGAATCAGAGGTACAGAGAGCCAGAGAAGGTTGTGTGTCTGGGCAGCCTGTGTGGCATATGTGCTCTCTGAGTCTGCATGCTAATTTCCCTAAAATGAATAAAGGGACAAGACGTTTGATTATGGGGATTTCTGTTTAATCTGCTTGTTAAACTTGGTGTGTGAAATTAAGCTCACTGTAGAGCCGGGTTATCCGTTCACTGGAGGAAATCAGTGTTCACTGGAAGTGAGAGGAGACAGGGACACGCCGGGTACGTCAGTGCGTGGTACTGGACTCTGCTTAAGGAAGAGCAGGTCTCGGCTGATCTCGCTGTGTGTAAATCTTCAAGGTGCTTGTTAAATTTGAAATACTGTGCTCAAATACCGCTAAAGTTCTGCTTAAGCTTCTGGTAGCTATCAAACTCACTGCTAAGGCTAAACCAGTGATGGAGTAGTTTGTAATTTTTCATTTCACAAGTATTGAAATAATTGGGCACGTAAGGATAGAGCTGAATATGTCTTTATGATCAGAACACTGAACTGAGTGGCTTCCTAGCATTAGGTAACATTATTAAGGTGCTTGTTCATTTTCTGATTCGAAGAACCAGGCTGCTGGAAAGCGGGCACTGGGGAAAACACAAGTTCCCTTTTTTTTTTGTCAGTCCATTTTATTTGCTGACAGCCCAACCGCAGAGTAATTATCTTGTGCAGTTCTTCATCAGTTACTTGCACAACGAGCACTCTGCTGTCTGTGGGGTACGGGTGCGAGGCAGTCAGGAATCACAGCTAACTCCGGTCATTGTGCAAATCCTTGAAAAAGAAGGAGCATGTGTTATTCTTGAGGTGTTACTTACCTAAATCGGGTATTTGCAAACAAATAGGTGAAACTGCCCGATGGCGAGTTCTTGCACTGCGCTGGTGCGCTTTTGAGTCAGGCTTCCCGTTCACAGGGTAAGAGACACGTCTCCGGGTAGGCTTGCTTTTCCAGAAAGTCTTTCCACAGGGAAAAGGAGGTGGAGGGAGGCTGTCGACAAAGGGTGTGCTTGGGGACCTAGAAAGGGATGGAGACTGTTCATCGTGAGACAGGCTGCTTCCTTTTTGTGGCTGGCGGGTGAGCCTGTCCAAATAGTGCCCTGCGGGCAGGACTTGTCTTCACGGGGTACCCAGGAGCACAAGGAGAAAGCCCGAGGAAGTTTTGAGGATGGCTGCGCTCAGTTCAAGTGTTTGACCTCCAAAATAGGCCTGTTGCATAGGAAAAGGACTATGGTGCTTCCCACAAAGGCAATACAGGGGTATGCTTGGTAGTCAGGAGCTGTGAAAGCCATTTGTCATGCAGTAAGAGTCTCATTGCAATTCTCTGCCGATCCCTGCACATGATGAACTGACCTGATAAAGTCTTTAGCTAGTGCTCCTTTAACAACTAATGGCTTATATTTCATTTTGGAGCTCTTGGTTTTATTCCCAGCATGGCAGGTATACTGCAAACTCATGAACTTAAACGCGCACATAGTGTTTATGGCTTCAGACTGATAGCGTGTCTTGTGAAAATGTTTACTTTGAAAAGCGTTTGATGCTTATTCATGTGGCAGTGTAGTTTCAGTTTATCAAACAAATATTGCGGCTGTTCTCAGAGCGTGTTATTTCCCAGTAGGCTCCGGCGGCTCCTCCAGAGCCTTCGCAGTCTGTCATGGAAATGCACAGCTTAGGACATGCTGTGAAATCCCTCCTCAAAAGCAGTTACTGTGCGTAATCAGATCCTTTACAATGTTTACTGTTTCAAGCCACTGAAGTTTAAAAATCAGGTAACTCAATAGCAGTGTATCAACATGCAAAGCGTGGAGATTTTCTGAATTAAGTTCCAAGTATTAATGCTTTCTGCGTTGCATAAATCTATTGAAAAAATGCTGAGCTGTATAATGAATTAGCAGCATATTGGACTTTACAGTCTGATGCGCTTTGGAGATGGAAAAGCTAACAAAAGGCATCAAAACAGCAAACATCAGTTTCTCACAGATGTAAACACATATGGTGGTAATACCTTAAATGGTGCAGAGTGAGAGAGCGAGTACCACACTCTAAGGCATGTTCACAGTTTCGTTAGTCTCGTTTGTAATTCATGTGGAACTGCACTCTGTGATTGGTGGAATCTGATCCTGGTTTATTTTAATATTCTTTTAGGTTAAAATTGTGGTCTGGATTAAGTAAGGATTAAATCACAGAATCATCATAGAATCTAATCTTGTTTCCCCCAGGGGATTACTCACAGAGAGAAAGCAGCAGAAATGTATATACGATAGACACATGCGTATTCCCTATCATTTTTAGTAATGGGCAATCCTGTACCAGCCAGTATTTTGGCAACAGAAGATATATGTTCTGCTTTGTAGGGCAGTGCTTGTACTGTTTACACTTGATGTCCTTTTTCAGGCAGAAGAGAAATTGTAACCCTGAAAATTATGCCTCTAGAACTCCTCCTGGACCATATTTCAATTTTATTTATCACTGTCTGGTTAACCAGTTTTGGGACATATAACATGTAGGATGTTGGAATATTATGACATAATTTCAACTTTTATTTTTAAAGCTTTGGAGTATCCAAACCTTGATGTCTCAGAGTCAACTAGAGACTACTGGGTGATAACAGGTACTTCTTAATCTCCTTCCCTCCTCCATGCACTTCAGATAATAATTTTTAGTGCTCGTTTATACAAACGCATCGGTGCAGTCATTTTACACAAAAGTAAGTGTCTGCCCACTGAACCTTCCTGTTGCATTCAGCTGGGCAAATGTATTTACAATTACTCTGGGGCATAACTATGATTTGTCATCTTGAACAGAGACGTCTCCTGCGTCCAACGCCTGCCTCAGAATTTATGTCACTTTCATTTAAGCACTTCTGAGAACAGCATTAACTTCTCAGAGTCTTAAAACACAAACAGGCTCCCCCCCCCCTCCTTGGACTTGAATTTAAATCTGAAATTAAAAGAGGCTTGTAGACATAACCCAGGAAGAAAGGTGATCTTATAAACCGAGGAAATTTGTTATGATTTGTTGACTGTCTGGGTCCAGGAATTTTTGCATCTTTCACCTGAAGCATTAAGCACATATCTTTCTGTTGGTGGAAAAGACAGTGCAGAGAATGCTATTAGGCTTCAAAATACTTGTTTTACCACAGTCATTTCACTGGTATCACATTCTCATTCGCAATTGTTTTGACTTCAGAAGTGATAACTGGGCAAAAAAGGGACCCTTTCCCCCAGACATCTTTGAGTGAGTAGATACCAAAGCCTTTCTCATCAGTGTGTCTGTACCCAGAGTTGTTTAATGCTCAGGAGAGCAAGAGAAAAGGAGCCTGATATGAAACAGATTAAATTCTACACTCTGCTTCCCAAAGCAGTGTGATTTGGTACCTGTTATATCTATTCATAATTTTGACACAAAAAATAAATTTATGCAGAGATCATGGTCCTCTGAAGGGAGTGGTACAGCCCCTCCCCATTTGGAGCCCATGAACCCAATACACCATTTCTTGCCTTTGTGCATGTACTGCAATGGAGTATTATTGACATTACAATGGAAACACGGTTTTCAAAAAAAATCACGGTGATCCCAAAAGATTTTTTTAAATACTGTTGAAAAATCATACATATGTATGAATTAAATTAGCATGCAGTATCACTTTTTTGAACTTTATGTAAATTCAATATCTTTTTAATTTTACATTCATTTATACTTAGGAAATGTTTATTCAGCTTTCAGTGCTCTCAAACGTAGGATATTTTGTTTCAAACCAAGTTGTACAAAATCCTAACTTCAGATTTCAAAACTGCTAGATGGAAAACTGTGGTTTAGTCAACAGCAGGAGCATCTGGTGAGAAGCATAAAACCAGGCAGCTCTCAAATAGGTTTTAACTTGCTTTTTACATTGAAGTTCATATATTAGGTGCTTCCTGCAGCCATTTTGGTAAACTGAAGGCCTAAGAATGTTTTTGGAGGATTTTATTCTCTGAAACATCATTGACGTTATCCGAGAAGAACACTACAGGGGCTGAAACAGAAGCACGTTATATCCCCACTGGGAATTACTGAGGGGGTGTAACAGTGTCCAGCTATTTTTCCTCTCAGCTAGTTAGTACATGCCTGTCCCAAACTGCCCTGCAGACCACGTGTTACTTTGTCTGTCCACGTGAGGTGTGCTGATATGTGATTTTTCTCCATTCCCACAGTTATTCAAGGGGTTGATATTGCATTACTGGGACTGAACAATCAGAGCTTTGCAAGATTAATGGAGCAGCGTTTGGCTCCGCTGTTTATGATGTCCCACCAGCAAGGAAGACGATTCAAACGTGCCACTACTGTGGGCAGCTACACTGTGCAGGTGGTCAATGCGACATCGGTTGCGCCTAGATATGTGTTGAAAAAAGGGCTTTGCATGTGTCCTGCCTCAATTTGTGTAAAAAAAAAAAAAAAAAAAAAGTTGTTCATCTGGGTTGAGATTTCCTATCTTTTTTCATGAATTTCAAAGCAGCGAGTGCAAAATGCATGGGTTTCTTTGTCTGCAGTCAGCCATGTTTGCGTGCCTCTCATCTAGAATTTATCATTAGTTAATCAGTGTTAATAAATATTTACTCTTTGGTTGCTTGGTACAAAGTATGTATTTTAGCATAAAGTCTCGTATTCAGCATAATGAAGAATTCAAGGCTTTTGTTCATAAAAAAAAGTTTCCTAGGCCTTCCTTTCCTATGTAACTCAATAAAGCTAGAACTTCTTTTTTCTTTTTGTTCAAAAAAAAAATGTATGAAACAGTCTTTATACATGATCAGTCATCAGAGCATGTGGCCACAGATTACATTATTTAGTAGAGATTTCAGTCCTGAGTAACTTATTAATCATCTCGCATTTAACAACATTTCCCATTCAGTATTTTGAAATGATCATATTTTGTTTTCTTACTGATTTAGCGAACTGATGCTAGTTGTGGGGGATTCAAAGAGGATCTGTCTTCAAAAATTGCATGACAAGTTATTGCTTTTTTTTTTTAATTACATGATGTTTTTCAAGAATTGCTTGTTGTGAGATATAAAACCAAATTACTACTTTTCTTGTTTGCCCACAATTCTGTGTGTTTTCCCACTGAAAGAATTTAAAAGAAGGAACAGGTTTTTACTTGCCCAAAGTATGAAACTTTGTAATATTTTCCATGAAAACATGACATATTTTATTCCCAAACATAATGGAGAAGAATCACCAAACTCCTTTTTCCTCTCATCATTAGAGGTGTTTGACACTTCCTCTACTCTCAGGAAAGACAGAGGTACAATGCAAAAATTCTGCCGGTATTCTGCAGAATAAAATGGAAAGAGCATGGTTCTCTTTATTGTCAGCCTAGGATCAAAAATAATGAGTAGAGAAATAAAATGTGAGGGAATTTTTCAACTGCAATATGCCAGTAAACTATAATAATCAATATTAGGAGAGATTTTAAGAATTCCCTCTTTACAGACGACTGTAATGTCCAAACATTTGATCCTTTCCTCCTTTTTACTGCATGCTTTTCTTGGTATAGGATTTTACCTTAGGATTATGTTTAAAATTTTTTAAGAAGGCAGTCAGTCCTCACTAATCTTAATAGCCTAGGCTATGAAGGGGAGAAGCTCTGATCCTGTGAGAATATTTGCATGGAGCTTATGCTTATACGGGGTCTTGAAGGACTTCCCTGTGTGCACTGCCTTTGAGTAGCTCCTGGCAGGTTTTGTAATGGTATAATATAAACACAGTTTATTAATCTTTCTCTCTCTTTATTTTTTTTTTTCCTGAAAGATGGTAAAAATCCAACGTATTCCAGGACCCAAGGAGCCAGCTGAACTAACATACTATACTTTATACAACGGGAAACCTTTGCTGGGCACTGCGGCTGCCAAAATTTTGAGTACTGTTGACTCCCAGCGGATGGCCCTGACCCTAGGTTATGTTATTCAAGTTCAAGCTGATCGTAAGAGTTCTTTTAAAAATTCTCTGGTTTAGTCCTTTGTGAAAACACCAGTGTAGGTATGGGGAACCTCCACTGATCACATAGAGAAATTTCAGCTGCACCTTTCTGAGCAGCTGCTTAAGTCAGGCTGCTCTTTTTCCTGTGGAAGACAGACTAATCTTTTATCATAGTAAATCAAAGCTATATACCAACTGTTATTTAGCTGATCACTGTAAACTCTATTATACAACTAATTTTACACACATACAACTCTACAAACTGAACAATTTTATGGAACTGTAAAGTCAGAATTAATTCTGATGCTAACTAAACCATGACTGCTGGAGCTAAGTTGCTATTTAAATAACTTGACCCAGAATAAAATGTGGGGCTATCAAGACGTCCCTTATTTTTGCCTTGTTCAAAATAATATAGATTATTTCTCTCTCAAAGGGACTTTTTTTTTTTTTTTTAAAGAATCATTTTCACCAGGAATTTTGTAAAGTGCACCTCATGGTTCTTAAAGATATTCTTTAGACACAAATCAGAAAAGTGCAGTTGAACAGAACTACTTGTGTGTATGGACAGTTTTCAGATTCAAGATATGGTAGCATCATTCACAATAATGTGGCCAAAATAGTAATCCATTCTTGAAAAGTAAAGTGTTTTATATTTTCTAAGACTTGCATCAGTTCCTGAGTGATTGTGGGCACAGGTGTTTTGTTAAAAAAAGGTTTTTTGGATATTCCTGTATAACTGACCCACAGTCATAAACCTGTGGCGGAGCTTGGAGGCTTTTCTGCGCAATAGCAGCTTAATGTATGAATTGATGCCTTTAGCTAACTGAATGTCTCCACTTTGCCAAGGTATTTATCCAGATGGAATTAAAATTGTACAGTGGACTTCTGTACTGGATCTCCTTACTGGCTAAACAGCATATAAAATGGGACTCCCTGGTGCCATTATTTCTGCCTGAGGGCGCAGTGATACTGAAATAATTACATGTAATGGTGATAGGAAAAGAAGGGACCACTGTAATAAGTAATTGATGTATCATCCATAAACATATGATTGAGTTAGAACACTAAAGTATGACATAATTTCCAGAGAATGGACTATATACTGTACCTGATCCTTGATTTGATCATGGTCTGTTACTGACTTTAATTGGACTGAAACCAGGCATCTCCATTCCTGCTTCCATGAAGTCTAGCATTTAAATTCTAAATTACTTTGTTTTCCATGAGACTATTTCTTTAATGTAATTTTTACTAAAGCAGCCCTAGATAATACATAGCAATTTCCTAGCTCTTTGTGCAGTTTTGTGATTTATGTGAGTATTTAGGTAATTATGACATCTGCTGCTCATCATCTAACTTTGTACTTCCATGGTCTGATAAGGCAGCCTCGTTCATCTGTAGATTTTTATACTAGTTAAATATGCACAGAATACTGTAAGAAGAGAATATACAGAAATTGAAATTATGACCCCGGGTAACTGAGATTCTGAAGCTAGGGTATTTGAAGTATAGGAGGTAGTTCTAGCTTTATACCTTATTATAGAAACAAATCCATTTCTTTCCTTTTGGACATGGTATTTGTAGTCTGTCTTTGTATTCCCAAAGAAAATACTCTGTGTGCATTTCATTTTTACTCATTCTAATTTCTGTTATAGCAGAATGAAAAGTTCTGTACCAAAATGCAGTAACAGAACACATCTACCCTCAGGAGCTCGTAGTTTGGTTAGACAAGACAGATGAATCATAACAAAAAATATGGATGTTCCTGTTTTATAAGTGAGGGACTGAGTTACAGCAAAATGAAAGGCTTGCTTCAAAATCCACTGAAGTCTTATCGAGTTGAATGAACCATGGATTGACTTAAGGTCACATTGGAAGCTGGTAACTGAATTAAAGATGTAAACCAGGATTCCTGAATGTCTGTCCAATTAGCCATAAGGTCATAGTTTCCTCTGCGTTCCCTAGAAAGGATAAGTATAATTTTTCAACAATTGTTTGCTGCTCCCACAACAGCAGTCTATAATTAAAGTTACTGTTATCTGATAAAATTCAGATTCAGTTTCCCTCTCCACAGCCCTTTCGTCCCCAAGCTAAATGTCAAAGTTAATTATTAAGAATTATGCAAGTCCATTGAAAAGTGAACCTTGAAAGTCTTCAACCTGGCTTTTTTGGACAGTCTTTAAGCATGAGGTTACTGTTACACTCTGTGCAAGATATGTACCTAATGGCACTACTCCTACGTCACCCAACAAACTACACTGACTTTGCAAAAAGTTGTAGATCTACAAAGAAAATAGGCTCAAGCTTCAGACAGCCTTTCAGCTGGCTTTCATAACTGCAGCTGAACAAGATGGTATGCATTTGAAGTCTGATCCTGAAAGATGCTGAGTGCCTCTGACAGCTAGTAAGCTCAATGACATTTGAAAGCACTGGTCCCCTAGGAAATGGGAAAGGCTGCTTTATGCTGGTATTCTCACAATTGCCTGTCCATGCCAGCAACCAGTGGCACTGGAAAATAAATAGAGATAGCATGGTGAAATCCACAAAATATTTCACTAAAACAAAATTCAGCTTTGTAAGGAGATTATCTGGTGTTTTTCCAGAAAGAAATGAAATGAGACAGCTGGGGATGTGTCACAGGAGGATCTCTTATGTGTATACAAGTTGAAGGTTCATACTAAGAGACTTTATTCTGATAAAAGGGAATCTAAAGTGTTTTAGCATCACTGCATTTCTGAAATGTACCCTTTTCCTGGTGCCATTGTTATTAAAACTGCAAGTAGCTCTTTCCAACCTCATCATTTCCCCTCCTTCAGAAATGATGGATTCATTTTGACCTTAACTATGATAAAGTATTTCTAGAGCACAAGAGAGGCATTTTCTTATTCCCTATTGATATCAATAATAACTACTAGTGTGCTTAGCTTCGTTGGTTTTGAAAAAGCTCTACTTGTTTACTCTTGCTGAGCCAGTAAGACTTTGATACCAGGTATAGGCTCCATGTGTATACTTTTAACACACATGCTACCTTACTATAAGCTGTTATTGTGCGTGAAAAATAATTACGGATTTATTACTTGCACCTTTTTTTGCTTATTCTGTAAAGGAACCATTGGAGTGATATCTAATATAGCATCGACTTGGGAGTTGATGGCTGCTTTTGCATATAACTGATGTTATATGTAAAATATAACTAAGAGAAGAGAGCCCAGGGATTTGTGAATTGAACAGTGTTGCTGAGTCTTTTTTTTTTTTTCTGACTTAAGGAATACAAAGGTATAGCTAGATTACTAACAATCCTTTTATACTAATTATTATATGGAGACAGCTGGAGGCTGTGTTGGAAGCAATTCAAATCTTGCGTTTGCACAGTGAGACTTACCGATGCTGGTTTGCAATTTTCTGTAGCGGTGGTGAAGAACCCCCCAAACAACCTGTGGATCATTGCAGCGGTGCTGGCTCCCATTGCTGTGGTTACAGTTATCATCATCATCATCACGGCGGTTCTGTGCAGAAAGAACAAGAACGACTTCAAACCAGACACCATGATGAACCTGCCTCAGAGAGCCAAAGTGAGTGACCGAGCTCTAGACCCCAGACGTCCGTTTGCGTTCTGAGGCTTTAACTGTGTTTCTCTGCTAGGTGTAGTTGAAGGATGTTTGGAATTGAAATGGTCGTTACTTACAGCTTGGATCTTTGCACTTCCTCTCTGCCCCTGACCCCACCAGTCACAGCGATCACCCCTCCGTTCTACTCGGGACCCATCACCTTCCCTCACAGCCCGTCCCTTGCCACAGCGGTAGCAGTTACGCGGTGACGCGAGGCCCTGAGCCCTTAGGGCTGCGTAGGCCTTGCTCAGGGCGGTCGCTGCCCTCGTGAAGTTGAGGAGCTGGGGTGTTAGGCCTGGGCCTCGTCAGCAGCACGTCTCCACCCGACTGCTAATCCAGAAAAGACGTTCTTTGAATTTTTTTCAGAAAACTTATCCCACTGCTATTTTCCTTTTAGATGTTTTGCACTTTCTGATTTAGTTGTGGATACTGTTGGTTAGGTTCAAACAATTATATTTTCCTTAAAGTTACTAACCCCTATCAATTCCAAGATGGTTGTTTTTCCAAATCAAATGCGTTCCCGGTTTGATTCTCTGTCTAACAGAAAAAATGTCACAGAATACTGATTTGCCTCCTTAGTGAAAAAAGTCTGCCTTCTCAATGCCTCTGTTAAATGGCTCTTCAACAGGGCCACTCCAGGTCAGGAGTTTTGAGCCCACAGAGCCTGTGTGTAAGTCACACTGTTCCTTCGCCCTTTTAGCTGGCTTTGGTTTTCTCCACTGGCATGGGATTGAAATGATAAATTTTCTCTTTGGTTTCTTAATGCTACAGGCAGCAGGATTATTGTGATTTCAGCTCTGTTGCTTCTGCTGAAAAATGTCGATTGGAGGGAGAGTTGAAGGCAGGCATGATGCGTATGACAGCTCTTTTCTCCTCATCTTAGGTTAGTTGCAGATGGGTGCAGCTGGTGCCAGCTGGAAAAAGACATTTGTATCAAAAGTGATGTGAAAAAGACATTTCCATTTTGGTTCCAGTACGCTCATCTATTATAGATGTTATCCGGTGTTATCAAACTAGTATTAAGACTAGATTTGCAAAAGTAAAACAAGCAATATCACAAACACAAACAAAAATTAATACCGCTGCAGTGATATCATATAATGTCCCATCAAAACCTCTAAAATGCAAATCATGCCTTATTAGCGGCTGTTGCAAATACTGTGCACCACTTGATTCTTCTTATATGTAATCTTAGTCCCAGCTAAAGGACAAAATGAGACTATAAATTTGTACATTGTTTTGAGCTGGCCATCATTACGGATGCTTTACAGCTGAAGAAAGTTGCTATTTAAAAAACTCCACTGCTGGTTGAAGGTACAGCACAGAAAAAACTTGGAGGTATTTTAATATTTTAATCCATAGTTGTCATTCCAAAAAGAAAGAGAAAGTTGATTTTTTACTTTTCCTGAGAAATCAGATTTAATCAGGCTGTAAGACACATGGTGAGGTTAAAACCTATTCAGTCAGGTTACATTTGCATCAGCCGTCCATGTTATCAGATGGGAGTTGCATCTGCAGAGCAAAACAATTGGTGCTGAGCTCCCAGCATCCACATTACACTGTTTCAGGAGATTTTCCTGCAGACTTGCTTACATTTGCAGCTGGAGTGCAGTAGGTCCACTTCTAGAGTGCATTTCCCTGTTTTGGTATATTTTGAGACTCCATAAAATTTAATTTAATTCATTATATGAGAAGCGATGCATTTCAAAATGAAAGCTAAATTGCTTTCCATTTAGTTTCAGAATGATGGCTCCATCAGAAAGGTTCAGCCAGGTCTAGTTTAGAGTATACGCTGGTATATGGACCATGGAACATAAATTTTGCAGCAGGACTGGGAATGGGCTAGTTTTGTTATTCCTGATTTCAGCATCTTTACTTAAAATAAGGCTAAGAAATGTATTTTGGGAAGATAATGAAATTAGGCCATTTTGAAAAAGGAAGAGTTTTAGCTTTATTTTTAATTCCAGCATTAGGGATGTCGGGAATAGTGGCAGTTACTTGAACTGCAATTGCTACATTTCATGCAGTTTGGCAATACAAAGAGCTGATGAGCACATATCTGTATCGCATTTAAAATGAATATATTATATGTCATAGCTTAGAAAAGTGCCTGAGACTGCTCGATTAATGTTCTGTAAGTGGAGTCACAGCAGAGTGATTTTTAGTTTAAGCAGGAGCTTTGGTATTTTGTTTCTGTATGTCTGAGACTTGCTGTTGAATCACTGGCGCCGTTTTTGGATAGCTTTTGAATATCCAGCGAACTGTGTAGAGAGGAAAAGAGAATATTATGGGCTACCCACAGCCTTGGATTTCAGCCGGTTTTGTTTTCACCGGTGCCATTGTGTGTGTCTGGATTCCCAAAGTCCCGTCCCAAGGGGACTGGCAGAGCAGGGCTGCCTGTTCATCGCTGCGGTCCGGTTGCTGCTGGGAGCAGCGGGAGGCTGCGGGTCCCCACGCTCCGTCCCATGCCAGCGGGAGAGGGTGCACAGACGCAGCGCGGAGGGGTCACGAGACATAAAATTTAGCCTTAAATATCCTTCTGCAGCTGGGGGAGGTGATGTAACGCACCAGCAGGGCTGCTGCCTGCGCCTGGTAATTCAAGGAATGACTTTTGTTGTTGTAACAGCCTGAAGGCTAAAGAAATGAAGTTTGAAAAATGACCTCGCGTACGTAGTGTAGTTTATAGTAGCTTTCTTGGGAGCTGTGTTGCTGTTCGGATTTGCCTTAGCAATCAGGGACATCTGGACTAAGTTGCAGGGAAGAGAGGCTGTTACCATATATTTTCTTTTAATCGGCTCTCCAGTTGTAAAATTAAAAGAAGTATAAATTCAAATCGGTGAAATTCTGATGGGAATTTATTCTAATGTTCTTTCAATGCTGTTTTTATTTTGAGCAACTGTGTTTACTTTGAGGTTTTGGATAGATATTAGCTTTTACATAGCTTGCTTTCTAATTCACCGCATACTTCTTTAAAGGCTGTAATCTGATTTGTCACCTTTCCTTTCTTTTAGAGCATGAGAGAATAAGCTTGCAGGTGAACAGAGATAAGATCTGCAGTCTAAGTCCTGCAAGCAAAAGCAAATACTGCAGGCCATGAGAAAACAACCACTATCAATTTGATAAAGTGCATGGAAAAAAAAAAGAAAGATCAGAGAAACTGTCTGTGTACATAGGTATACATGTAGAGGGGAGGAGCTGATTATCCTTATTTTTTTTCCCTTCTTTTCTTTTTTTTTTTTTTTAAATACCAGTGTCTTTTTCATGATCATTACAAGGGAAAAAGTCCCAGAAACAGCTCCTTATATTCAGTGTGCCATTTGCCAGGCAATGTAATTTAATAGTCTCATCATTCATTTATTATTTCAAAAGCAATATTCAAATCCCAGTCCTTCGGTCTTTCTCAGTATCTTAGCTGTATTGGACATCTACGCTTGCAGTGCTTCAGCAGTGCCTGATCATGATTTAGTCTTGCCAGTTCCCTTCAGGGGTGGTAAAGCCATCTGCTCCTGTGGGCTTTTACAGAGCAGGGTTCCAAGATAAATGTTATTTAATGCAATATGTCCGCTGATGAGGATGGCTTTTTCAGCTCTTCCTTTATTGCAGTTTGTTACTAGACATGGTGGTAAGTAGAACTCAGACTAAAATAATCCTTCATTTTCTTCCTTTGGCAGATCCGAGCTGGGACTCTGCAGAGTTCTTTAGTAATTCTTGTGTTCTGCTGCTTCTGGTTTGGTTTTGTTTGTTTTGGGTTGTTTTGGTTTTTTTTTCTTTTTTTTTTTTTTTAATAAGAGATGACGTATAAGTTGTAACTTCTACTCTTTCAAAGGCATGGAGGGAGAAATAACTGATTTAATCAGCTTTTCTCTTTTGATACATTTTGCAGAGTATCTGGGAGAGTCTTGACTAACACTTAATGTAGATAATAAGGTTGACAATCATTATTTTGGTTAAAAATATTACTATCTAGGATGTGGTGCAGTAGTTCTTCCTAGCTGTCCTTCACACAGCTTCTGCTTCCCCTTTCTTCATTCCCTTCCCTTTCTTCGTTTCCTCCCTTTGTAGCTAATTTGGTGACTGTTTTTGTGGTACCCTGCCTTCGGAGGAGGGCAAGCAGAAGGCCCCGTCAGGGCCGATATCATCATGACTTGCCATGGGGTGGTGATGGTGAATTGGCATTTCTCTGATATGTTGCATGTTCCATCGTGGTAATGCACAGAGACGTCTGCTCTCCCAAATCAGCATTAGCCCAATTAGCGTCTCCTTAATGCACTGGAGCTACTTATCAGAGGAATACTGAAGTACATGAGCACATTAGAAATCATCAGCCTCAGTTCGAGCAGGAGATTGGGAATGCGATGCAGATCCCCATAAACAAAAAGCATGTTTTGTTTTGTTTTAAAAAACAGAAGACAGCCCTGTTATTTTCAGACCGAGATCGCCTATGAAATTTATCTGTATTTCTAGCTATAGCCCAGATTTAGTAAGGGACAGGACAAGAGAAAATGTTTTTTCGGAGTTCATCCTTTTTCTGTGCCATCAGCAAATTTTTTTATCCAGCTGATTTTCTTCTGGAACTAAAATATTCAATGGCAACATGACAGGAACCTGAGAGAGACTATTCAGTTATTAACCGTCTAATTCTGATGTGTTTCCAAAAGTATGTTTGAGGGTTAAAATCACTATTGCTCACCTTTGAAGGGTTTTATGGTGCTTTTTTAGCATTCTGTCAATAGTCTTTGTACTTCAGGAGGAGCATCCTTCCAGGTTTTGGTAAATTAATTGCTAGCCTAGCAAGAACATTTTTATGTATTACATGTTTTTTCCAGAGGTGGTCAGGAATTTGAATGATTTATTTTTCATACTTTTTTTCCGATAGAAAATACAGGTTGTTTTTTTCTCTCCCCCCGACTTCTCTTCTTTTTTCCAAGCGAAAAAGCAGTTTGGAAATGTAAGTTTTGCTTAAACACTTTAATTTTTCTATTAAGAGAATTCACCTTTCGGTGGCTGCTTTGCCCAGAAGGCATGTGTCAGTTCTGCTTGTTCCTTGCAGAGGCAGCCGGGAAAGCCGGCCGGGCTTTGGGGAAGGAAAGGCTGGGCACACCGCCTTCGCCTGCCTCGCTGCAAGGCTCTTGCGAATGTCGCTTCCTGAGAGAAACAAGTGAAGTCAATAACAACCTTCCCAGTAGGCAACTGGCAAGCCAGGGGAAATATAATTTCACTGATCTGAAAAAGATCCTTTTCTGGAAAATGTTGCCCGTGAAACTTTGGTGTTTGCCTTTTTTACTTTGTCTTGATTTGGAATAAATTACTCCCACCCTCTTCAGAAACATAAGATTTTTTTCAGGGAAAGTTTTCCATTTTCTGTATGGTCTTATTTTTCTCCCTCCTAATTTTTTTCTTCCATATGCTCATTCTTCCATTGTCTCTTAAAGGAATTTCTGGGGGTGTTATGGCAGGGTAAGAAAGGTTAGCCAAGATCAATTTTATACTAACTAATGACGTTTAAAATATGTGGAATGGAGATCTCATCAGAAAATTGGTTGTTGTTGGGCATTCATATGGCAATCGACATATTTTTATCGTTGTTTACATAATTAAAGAAGTTAAGAGTTAGTGGAAAATTTTATATTGAAGTGGAAATTTTATATTAATATATGATGCATGCTGGAAATTTCTTTTTTTCTCCTGCTTTTTTTTGCAGCCAGTACAAGGCTTTGACTATGCCAAGCAACACTTAGGTCAGCAAGGAGCTGAAGATGAGGTTTTACCTGTAACTCAGGAGACCGTTGTACTTCCACTTCCAGTTAGAGATGCTCCTGCCTCCCAGGAGAGAGAAATTACTCAGGATGGGAGCACCATCAAAACTGCCAAATCCAATGAAACAAGGAAAAGGTATGGACTGGCGTGTTTCCGCAGGGGGGTGGAATAGGATACATGCTGCTGGTTGCTCAGGAAAAAACTAAGGTTTGGCACCCAGGCTCTGTGTGTGGCAGATGGTTCCTCCATGATGTATATTCTTGGCATAACGCTGGTCTGCGCTGGATGTGTAAGTTTGCTGCAAAATACAAGATAAAATAAAGTGAAGTCTTCACAGATTGTACATGCGTAGAGGAGGTAAATGGGAAGTGGCTCTCATATGCATGCTGGTGTTGTACAAGAGAGGAGCCCAAACGACACAGGGGATCTGGAGCATGAGCACCGATTATTTCTGAAATGAACCAAAAGACAGGACCTCAGCCACTGTAAGTTGCTGTAGCTCCCCTGACAGACTCTGTCATTCCAGAATTGGACCCAGTGTCTTCATTAGCAGAAGAGCAAGCCCTAAACATCCGCTAAATTATGGAAGACCTCTAGATCCAAAGCATCTACAGCAGGACAAAACTTTTGAGAGTGTAAGAATAGGCTAGATAATGTTGGTGTCTAGGGTAAAGTGTCCTAGGTTTGCAGCATCTTCACAGGAAGCCTACAGTGTTGTAGGATCACAGATTAGGAAGTCCCCAGAAGTTATCTGGCTCTTTCTCTTCTTCACTGCAGGGTCAAATACACCCCTAACTCAACCTTATCTACCTTTTTTTAAAGTCTTCCAGTGGTGGGATGATCACAGCCTCCTCAAGCAATCTGTTCTTCACTCCCTTTCCTTTTAGGAAGTTTTACTTCATGTCTACTCTCAATTATCATCAGAATAGCTGAAGATCATTATTTCTTGTCTCAGTCATCTCAGGCAAGGAAAGCAGATTATCCCTTTATCCTAGCTGTTTTGCATGTTTTAAGTACATTTTTCTTTGACCCGCTCTCCTTGAAATTAGAGTGGAGCATCATCAACTTTTTATTGCTGAAGAATGATACTGAAGGGAAGAGAGAAAAATAAAACTGTTAGGTAAACAGCCTGAACAGAGGTAACAGTTGTTGCCTAGTTCACTGGCATTACACAGTCCTTGCTTCTTGAAGGGACTTCATAACATAAAAGAAGACTATCGGGATACTGCAGAGAAATTCTATAGAAAATCAAATCTTCATAGTTGAGTCACCTCATCTTGTACTTGTCAATGCACCATGATATTTGTCCCTTTGGAGTAATGGAAAAGCTTGGAAAACTCGGCACAATATTGCTGTATGCTGTGACTGGGACACACCGGAGCCATCTGCAGCCGCAGGAGGCGTCAGTCCGCATGGCGCAGGGCTGGAGAAGCTGGTGCTGCTGCTCTTCCTGGGGGTAGACCTCCCCATTGGTCATAAGATGAGGTTTTTCCCTACAGAAAAATGGAAACAGAAGGATCCGGAGCTGGTGTGTGGTTTGACGTACTTCTCTGGTTGTATAGTAAATCACCTGGAATATGGAGAGAGCTGTCTGCAAGGAGCACCAAGAGAGAAGAGGAAACCAGCTGAGAACTCCCCTGGTTCCTGTGATTGCTTCGCTAGGTTTAGGTGTAAACTGTTGTTCTGCCCTTTAATGTCAGTGATGTGTTGTTCACACCATAAATCACTTGAACCGTTAGAGTCAGGTTATATAGCACCTGCGAACCAGGCAGCACTTGTGCCTTTTGAGTCTTCCGTCCTCTGACGAAATGACTGACAAATGGAAGATGACCATGCCACCGGCTGTCGTTGCTGGTGCTGGACCACCACAGGTTAAGCCTTTGCAGGAACTGTTCTTTAAAAAATGTTTTGAAGCCTCTCCAAAGCCATGTGTAAACACACACAAAAAATGTAAACCAGGCCTGTTAATTAATCCTCTAACAAAAGTGATTAAGCTCTTCACTCAGTCCTTTGAATGAGTGCAGAAATCCCCCTCTACTTAATCTGCACAATTTTAAACAAACGCTGATAAGCAAACTTGATACAGGAAAGTTATTCTCATTATAAAATGTCTTGAACCTTGGTGCCTTCCTAAGCAAATAACTAAGAGCTAGTTTTGCCTCCTTCAGGGTGATTACTTGAGTAAGTGAGAACATGCAGAATTTTAGCCTTTTTTCATTTCCAGGAGCTGTGTCTGGGGATGGAATTTAATGGTTTCTGAAGATGAAGAAATATTTCTTGACCTTTATGTATTTGCTCTTTCGTGCAGGCTGCTTTGTAGCCTGGAAAGGTCAATTTAAATCAGACCGCCATGAAGTGGCTGGTAACTGATCAGAATATCTTCTCTGATATTACCACTGAAGGAATCTTCACAGTTAACAATATGATGGCCACTTAAAAAGGATGACTATTTAGATCAGTGGCAGCAGAAATCATTGTGCAAGCTATCCATGGTTGCTCCTTTCCTTATTCCCAAGTGGAGCAGGTTTTCTTCAGGTGTTGGTCTGTCCCTGGATGAATTTTTTTTACTGGGCTGGGATTATACATTAGCAGTGCCAGACAGGTTTATAGGGAAGGAATGCTACTTTCCAAGAATATTTGTTCTCAATAGAATTTCACAAGAAAATCCTCAGGCTGGGCTGACCTGAGCTGTGTTGCATGCTGAGTTCTCCTGAAACCCTGTAGTTGGAAAGAGCCTGTCTCAAATTATATATATTTCCACCTAGGTTGTCATCAAAAGAGAGTCCCTAAGGATTACTTTTCTCATACTTGTCCCTTCCTGTTCTGACCACAGTAAATGCTCTCTACTTACACCAGACAGGGCAGTCAGAACTGGAGGTAAATGAAAGTTTCAAGCTGGCAATACAGTATTGGCAATAATTTACAGGATGTTTTTTACAGTTGTTTTGCTTTAGCACCTTTTTCTGGATATAAAGCCATTGTGACAGCAATAGAACTTGATTTGATTTTTTTCTCTGTAAATGAAAGTCCTTGTGACCAAGTCCTTTTTTTTTTTTTTTTTTCCTCCACTGCAAACTCTTTGCATTATCCTGTCATTGGCCGTGACAATCCAGTGATTGCAGATAGGTGCATGAGTAACTATACAGGTCCTGTGGACACTTCTCATTCCCGTTGTGGCAAGTTACACGTGTGGAAACAATGTGACACCATGTCTGGATGTGGAGGAGCACCAAATTTAGCATTTTCTAATTTGGCCTGCTTTTCTCAACATGTGCATTAGGATTTGAGTAATTTGCCCACCCCCAAAAGAAGAGAACTTCTGCTGAGAGCTTGCTCCCGGTGCAGCCCAGAGTTACGCTGCTAATTTCTGTTCTTGCTCCTCGTTGGGACTGAATGCTCGCAGCAGTTCTGCTCTGCCCTCCCTCCTCACCCTCCGCGGGGACCAGTTCCAGGGCAAGGATATGCAATGGCTGAGTAAAACAAGCATTTTCGTATGAGTTTCAGCAAATAATGGTGCTGGTTAAACCAGGTTACGTGCAAAAAAGGAGAATTTTCTTATCACATTGTGCGTGTGTACGTGTAAAGTGAGGGAACTTTGCATTGTGGCTGACAAAACAGTTTAGTGTAAACGCAGGCTAAATAATAAAGGAATTAGTTTAGCCATATACACAAAAACAAAGGTCTGCTTTATTTTAGCTGTATAACAACTGACACTGAATTGATAACAGGATTTTTTGTCCTCTGCAGTGCCGCTTCTGTCATTGTGGGGGTTGTGCATGAGAAGCGGTTGCATTCGATGCCACTAAGATGCCTATCGACCCCAAACTAATGGAGAAGTCGTGTTCTCCTACCGTCGCTCTGTTCCTGCCTTTACTGTGTTTCTGTGTGCAGTTTATATTCTGTCTCCTTTTGGTACAAAATCAGACTTGAAAACTCAGTGATGCAAACTGTGCGAATGAAATAACCTTGAAATAAGGTTTATAAGGAAGAACTCACAGCCTCCCTTGTTGCTATGGTTACTTGCAGCCGGTCCCCGAGTCAGAACGGCTCCATCATCAGCAACGGGTCGGGAAAGCCCAGCTCCGGCCGCAGCTCCCTCCAGAAAGTAATGGCACCGCAAAAAGTGACAAAAGACGAAGGAAGGAAAAGAAACGGTGAGAAGTGTGTCTCGATGAAAGCCGCTTGCGGTCGCTCCTGTAGCCGTACCCACGCAGGCACTAACTATGTTGAAACCATCTTCCTATACCTTCAGAAGTACTTAGGCATTTTCTGTTCGTAGCTGGTTGTTTTGGGTTTTTTGGTGTGGTTTCCCCCCCACCCCTTTACTGCTATAGCTGTTTCTTAACCCCACATGAAGCAGTATGGTGTTTATTCTTTGTGTGGGCCTTTGCAAGTTTTCTTTCTTTTTTTTTCTTTTTTATTTTAAATACCAGTAAACTAATGAAGCCATGATGCTGCTTAGTAGGTGGACAGGGTTTACAGCTTTTTTTTTTGTGTAGAGTCTGAAGATACTTATTTCCATTACTGCTGTTGCTAAGCTGGCCCAGATCTGATGAAGATGAATTAATTAGGTAAAAATTAATTTGAGAAAGTGCGAGACGTCCAGAGCTTTAACTTTCTATCTTTTATCATCCTTGTCATACCTTTTTGTTATTAACACTTACGGGCAGCTTTTCCTGATGCACCTAGGATGTTACGCTGGATGTTTTTTACAAGCCCTTGGTTGATGGTGGCGACCTTGAGACTTGAGATGTATCAGGAACATCTGATGAGAGTAGAATTCAATCCCCTTTCTTCCTTGCTTTTCTTTTGTCTGTCTCTCTGCTTATTTCTCCTGAGTTACAGCTTTGCTTCCATAGCTATATTTTCCATATGAATAGAAAACACTGTGGCTGAACCAATTGATCACTTTGCTCTAAAGGGAGGGAATTAAACTGGGTGTGGTCTCATCAGATTCTGTCATGAACACAAGTCTGTAATTCTTCTTTGTCAAAAATGGAAGTGTGGGTGGAAGGACTCGGATAAAGAGAAAATCTTAGTGTAGATCTCCTCTCCTTTCTCCAGTAAATCGCCTGAGTAACCTCTGTGGAGCGCTCTGATGGCAACCCTGGTATCACATCATATCATCTCTTGATGATCATTATGCCTAATACTAAAGTGTCACACAAAGGCTTTGCTGCTTTAGCAGGAATACAGTGTGATACAGAGACAGACACAAAGCACCAGAGATGGCCTCTGTTACGTACAGCAAAATCATACCGCGTTTTTTTAAGTGTCCTCTGTTCTTTCCGTTCATGTACCATAGAGCTTTGCATCTTGTGGGGACCATATAATTGATATAACTGTAGTACTCTGTTTTTAAATCAGCTTCACTGAGATTTATGCGCATTTGCAAATTCAGACAGAGAAGCGAAGTTGTTAATTTTCTTTTGTTATGTGTTTGTCACCAGTACTGCTTTCTTCTGACAGACCTGTCACTTTACTGATTACTCCAGACCTGTAATAGTAAGTATTCTGACTGGTCTTTCTCAAAGAGGTCTTTTTTATAGACAGCATAACAAGATTTCATGGTTCTAAGTTTCAAGGGTCGTAATTATTTTTTCACTGTTTCAAATGTTGCTCATTTTATGAGACAACAACGTTCATGGTTTCCAGAGTTAAAAGCTGTAATTTATGCTGGTTTTTTTTCATCCCTACCCAGGAAAGCCAATATTCAAAAACAGTGTCAGGTGGCATTTACACATGTAGGCAAAATAATTTAGTGAAGGTATTTTTTTGTTTTGTTTTGTTAGGTTTTAAATCTTCAGAGAAAATTGGTAAGAACTCCCAGTTTCTTTGTTACAGAATTGACTAACACCTAACATCCTTTCTTCTGATCTGGACTGTAGTGTGTTTCTAGAACGTACACATGCTGCTTCAAGAAATCTTTCAATGTAGTATGAGGGAATACTGACCCTTTATTTTAAATCTTAATTTCATTATAATTTTAGCTTCAACTTTATGTGCTTTTCAAGTTATGCTGGAAAACCAATAACTGCTTTATTTACATGTTTATTTTACCTTCTGTCTTCTGAAAAAAAGCCTGAATAATGATGTAACTTAATATGGTCAAGGTGCTCCTTGCCTGAAGCAGCTAAGTGATTTCTAGTTCTAGCGCAATAGGGAAAACATCTCCAGCGTATACTCCATTCATACTATGTATTCTTGTCATTTGTTCCTACTGCATGCTGGCACCAAGATTTTGAGCTCCTGTGGCAGAAGGAAGAGCAGTATTTGCCCTTTTAAAAGTGGTAGTACTGTATATATACAAAATATGAGAGAGATAGGCTCTTTCTGTCTGACTATTCTGGCTTTGAAGGAACCTGTGCGTGAAACACCTTATTTGCAGAGCCCTCCTGGTAGACTTCAGCCACTTCTAGAGGAACTTCTTCACTTGACTGCCATGGCCCTATAAAGGGTTGCCTGGTAGTTTCCAGGCACAGATATGAAAGGGAATAAATACATTGTTCCCTGGTAAAGAGATGGGGACTTTTTAGCTGTAGGTGTATCTTTTAAGATATGTTTAGGAGAGTTTCCTCATACAACCCTTTCAGAACAGCTTCTGAGAAGGAAGGAAGATGTGGACATGGGAGGTGAAATGGCCTCCCCCTTACCAGAATTACAGAGCTGGCCCCACATTTATTCTTAAATGCATGTGCAGATGTGGTTTTGACTTCTGCGTTGCATGCTTCCAAATGCCCGATGAAATTAAAAAACAAAAATCAAGGCACCCATTACTTTTTGTCACAGAGCTTATGCTTTGTTCCCCAGTGCTATGATTACAAACACTGTTGTCATCTCTGATATTTTGTTCTTTTTGCAGGGTTTTCTCTTTATCCAGCGTGATTAGCATCAGTAGAATGTGTTGGCTGTTTTTCTTTCCAGTTTAAGAAAGAAGCTGCTTTTCTCCTAGTTTGTCTGAACCTGCTCCAGCTCTCTAGCCTGGTTGTAGGCTGACGCCTTTAATGCGCATGTCAGCAAAAGCAGCAGCATATTTTCTTCTCTGAAAAGCAGCATCTTTAAAATTGGAATGAATCCCTTGATGGTCACATGTTTGATTTGGGGACTCCAAGTTAGAATGGCTCATTAGTTGCCATAGTTACAGACCAATTTTAGATTCTATTTCTTGCTGACATTTAGTTACACGGAAAAATGACAGCACTGGATGTTACCTCAGTACATAAACTCTATATGGCTTGTATCAAAATTGACTGCAAATGGAGTGTGTCAGGGCTGAGAGTGAACAATGTGAAACCAGCATAGACTGACAGGCTTGGCCTGAGGACCTGATGTTTTGGAGGATCTGGAGAACTCTTTGGCCAAGCCTTATTTCTACAGAAAACATGAATAAAATATCTATTTGTATTACAATAGTGATAAACTTTGGTAAGATAATTGCATTTTTTCCCTTTGTTTTTCTTGGAAAACACTTACTAGTATTTTAATAGGAAGTTTCCTTTCTAAAAGTTGATGAGTTGTGCTTTCATTTACTTTGGGCACTTAAAAAAAAAAAAAAATTAACCCCTTTTTTTAAAAAGTGCCCAACTGTATATGTTAGAGGATTGTGAGATGAATGAATCAGCCAACAGAGGTACGGGCAATTTCCGAGACAGGTTTGTAAGAGAGCGTGGAAGAGAACAACAGGATATTAGCACTTTCACTTATCATTTTATCAGGCCAAACATCATTCAGGGAGAAGCAAATGGCTGAACCCACACGTACTTGAAGAACTATAGCAGCCTACAGTAAAGCCTTTCCTTTCACCAGCTCCTCACAAAATGAAGCCAGTGAAAGTTATATAGGTTGTTTTTCCAACTTTTAAGTGCTTGATCTTGCAGCCTTCCCATTACCATCTTTGGGAGGGCATGATTGCTTGTTTGCTTTGCGAAAAACAAAAGCTTTAGTTTGCTAGCAGTTCTTAATGAAGCCTGTGACTCCATACCTTTTGGCTGAGAACTTGTATAGTCGAGCCCAGTTTTGTACGTGAACCTCATCATCACAAAAGGACACACATCACAGGTGGAGATGCACAAGCAGCATTCCCAAAGAGTCAAACTTCCTTGTGTAAGAAACCTTCCTTTCCTCCTCCTAGGAATCCCAGCTGGAACACTTCTTCTCATCGTCCAAGTATTTGGACATTGTCTTTAAAAATAGATGTAACTTTTCAGAAGCCATTCAGTCAAGGGCCTCACTCCTTTCTAAAATATCGGTCTCTAAGACTATAATTTTCTCTGTGCAGGCAGAAGCTGTCACATAAATTTTTAATTCTCTTTTCCTTTGTTCTTCGTAGGGATATCTGAAAATCAGGTGTCTGCAGGAACAAAGTACTGGGGAGGAAAACTTAGCTGTATTATTGGCTTAGCTAAAATCAAAGGGATTTTTGGATGTAATTCAGCTAAGCTGTGATACACTGCCTCCTTTATTCTACAGAAGTGTGGGCCACCAGTTTTCACACTGTCTGATGTGGCTCAGCGTCAGAGCCAGCTTTTCTGAATTTCTGAGCAGTTGTCTGTAGTGACTTAAATTAAATGAAATATGGCAACAGCAATTGAATCCAGTAGCAGCGATGTAGCAGTCTGCTTTGACACAGAGTTAGCTGGAGGATCTGGTGTATCCCAGCAAACATCCAGCACCCTTCATCTGCCTTTTCTGTGCTGGGTGGGGTGAAATACAAGTTAGAGTGGAAAGGGCTTCATCTTGCCAAATTTTGGTCCTTTAAAACTGGCTTCCTAACCTAACCTAACCAGGTAGGCTCTCCAGTGACTCCAGAGGGCCATAGCTAATTGGAAGAGATCTCTCTGCTCTGCAGGTACTTGCCTTTCTCTTTCCAGTAAGGAAGGAGCCCAGACAACTGCATTGGAACATCTGGGCAGATTTGAAGTGAGATGTTTCCCTTTCATGATGCCTGTGTCTCTGAAAGGCTGAGAAATCAGAGTGAGAGAAATAATTTATGGTGCAGAGAGAGGAGTCTATTCTTTTCATCATTTATTCCCTCATCCTGAAGCATTAGCTTCATTTGCCCCACAAAGGGTGTTAGTGGGGATCTTGACCTAACTCTTCACCTCCTCACAGTAAACTCCTAAGCTTTTCTGGACTAATTTCTTGACATTTAACC